AGAAGCAGAGTGGCCAATCAGTTCTTTCTTAGTCAGCATTTTTACTTTACATGGACTGAGACCACACTTTCTAACCTCTGAAGACAGTCACATCCGGAAATAATCAACTATTAGCGAAAACATTGTGCTGTATACTGAGTAGGGTTGCCACCTTCAGCGAGGCAAAATAAGGGACACCTACTCATGACATTAAAAAAAAAATCATAGCTCAACAGTAAACCAGAAAACATGCTCAAGTAGGCTATGTAAACTTGCAACAGAACACATTAATATTGTTATTTTAAATTTGATTATTTATAATTATTAAGTATTATCAGTCTTTCTTTTTTTTTTTTACAGTTCTGCAGCTGTTACCAGGATGGGATTAAATTTTTTTTATTCATTTGCTTAAATTAGGACTACAGTATTATGTAATTATTTGTCCCATTTTTGTCTAAATAATGTATTTTTTTTAACTCTTTAAAATGCCAAATGACATATGATTATTTATTATGTATATATTTATGATTAATATAAATGATAAATTACTAAATAGGGTATAACATAAAATAGGCCTATAATCTATTTATTAATCTGGCTAATAATGCCTAAAAATATAATAATTATGTCTACTAAACTCTGATAATGTATGAAATATATTAACTGACTATCCAAATTTTAATAAAACAATAGGCCTATACCTTTAGAAGCACGGATGTGTCTGTCACTTTGAAGGTATGGTTCACCCAAAAATGAAACTTCTGTCATAATTTACCCAGGTTGTTCTAAACTTGCATAAAGTTCTTTTTTTTCTGTTGAACACAAAAGATGATACTTTGAAGAATGAGGGTAACTAAACAGCTGCAGATCCATAACTTCCATAGTAGAGAAAAAATACTATCATCTGTCATTGGGGACCAGAAACTGTTTGGTTACTCACATTCTTCAAAGTATCTTCTTTTATGTTTAACAGAAGAAAGAAATTATTACAGGTTTGTAACAACTTGTGGGCGTGTAAAGGGCAGATGTGAGCTCTATATGAGCATGCTGCGCTCGCGTGAAAATGAACCTCTCTAATACTTCTTATGAAATTGATTTCATTATAATTGCGATTAGTATTATAAACAGTGCACAATACCTATTTGTTGATTCAACTATGTGTTGGCCTTTGTAAAATACGGGACAAATCGCTTTTTACCTTTAAATACGGGACGATTGCGTATTTTAAGGGACGGTGGCAACCCTAATACTGAGTGATAGTAAACTAATGCTCCTTTCTTCCCTGTTTAGCACCATGCTATGACTCCAGACCAAGAGCTTACATGGGTGTGATATTAAAGATAAGCTAGAGGAAAGAACGAAAACAACTACATCTAGCATCCAGAAACAAGCTCTGGACACTTTACAAAAACGTGGTAGGCTACTATGAACAACTATATTGTTTTGATGTATCAGGACTTATGCCAACACTTTTTATTTTGTATTTATCTGCTGCCTGTAATTATTCCATAGATCCGTATCTAACTGGACTTAAAGGGGTCATAGGATGCTACATGCGCTTTTACAAGTTGTTTGAACTGAAATGTGTGTTGGCAGTGTGTGTACACAACCACCCTATAATGATAAAAATCCACCCAGTGTTTTTTTTTTTAATCTTACTAAAATCTTTACCTCTTTCTCAAATCGAGCCGATCTCAGATGCCTGTCTGTGTGACGTCACAAAAACAGGCCCCTCCCACGATAGTTTGATTGACAGTAACGTTTCAGCACAGACTGGACTGGCGTCTTACCTTAGACCCGCTCTGAGTGAGCTATCATCAGTCCACCATTGTTTCACCGCTGGAGCAGATGTAGACAAGAATGACTCCTAACAAGCGATTGAGGTGTTCTGTTGTTGGATGTAATAATGAACACAGCAGTCGTCATTTACTCCCGACATCTGAGCCGCTGAAGACGCAGTGGATTACATTTGTTTCTGAAAGGAATGCCCCCCTGATCTGCTTAAATGCGTCTATGTTCGCGCGAATCATTCACGAGCCAGCCTCATCTACAGAAGAAGTGAGTATAATGTTTTGTAATGAATCTTTGCAAATCGCCTTTCCTAATAATGTGCTTATTTAGCAAGTTTCAAGATGAATGTGGCTAAAGTAAGCAGTCTCTCTGAGAGCAGCTAGGAAGAGAGGGGCGGGGTCAGCAGAGCTCATTAACATTTAAAGGGAAATGCTACAAAAACGGTTTGATCTGAAAAGAGCTGTTTTTGACAGGGTAAAAAAAAAAAGGTGTTTTTTACACTACCACTGAGAAATTTTAACCAAACTATCTTACAGACTTTTCATTAAGACCCTAAAGAATCATATCAACTTGTGGAAAATGGGCATCCTATGACCCCTTTAAAACAGGACTCAAACTAGTCTGAATAACTGAATAGTCTGAAGCAATAAGAAAAATTGATTTAAGCATAAATTGGTGTAAATGAAATTACTTTGGCATAAACAAATTTATACAGCATTAAAAGTCTGTATAAAGCAGCTTTTTAGCTCATTGACTATGAGCTAAACATTTTCATGTCCAGGCAAACTTGATACCAGTGGCAACCAGTGATTTAATGTGAATTATTAATCTGCTGATGAGTGAGACATTTTCAAATGTTATGGATGCATTTCTGCATGTATACAGTACATCCCAATGACAAGTTAAAGTGATAATTCACCCCAAAATGTAATTTCTGTCATAATTTGCTCACCTTCACTTCATTCCATACCTACAGTATATGACTTTACTACTACTGTTGAACATAACAGAGGTGTTAACCAGAATGTCTGAGATGCTCTTTCATACAGTGAAAGTGGACAATATTCAAAGTCTTTAAGTTGATATTCTATAAAAACCTTGCTTCTTAAATCCTGCATTAACTTTTAGTTTAGACATTCAGCTATAAATGTTTGTGTCCTGTAGTATAACGTCATACAGATTTTTTTTTTTTTATATTGTAAATAAAGATCATTGGAGCACGATTTACAAGAAAATACAATTTCATTCTCAGAATTCCATGCTGTTTTTTTATCATTCAAAAAATGTCCAAGTAAAAATTGTTTCGATGCCATTTTTCCCCCAGTGTAAATTGCTTTTTTTTCATTTTTGAAGGGGCTGAAATACTCCTAACCAAGCAGTAAAACTTGAAACATGAGAATGAAAACAAACCGAGATAAAGAGATGGGATAAGAATGAATGGAAAAAAGAAAAGGTCAAGGAAGAGAACATTATACATTTATTACTGAGCCACCCTATGAAATCCAAAAGACTGGGAATAGAGGTCAGAGACAAAGAAAAAAAATAATTTGCACTACTTAAAGCATTACTAGTAATATCTCTCAAAAAAAAAAAAAAAAAGTACAAATGTTTGTTAAAATTTTTTATATCAAGCCTTCAAATGATTTTGGTTACAGATATTATACATATGAAACTACAACATGTTAAATTATACAATTGTATTTTTAATGGTAAGAATTAAAACAACCAATAAACAAATGCAAGAGAATTCATAAGCTCTCTTATTGGTGTTGCAAAAGAATAAGGGGAAAAAACAAATAGTAAAACTGAGGTAACTGCTATTGTACCAAGCAGGGAAAAATAAAACTTCTATAACACAGAATGACAAATTTAAGTAAGCAAGGTAATGCACATTTGTTGTTTGCAAAGAATAAAGAATTCATAATTTTCTGGTCATGAATTCGACTTATGACACTAAAGCGGACAACACTGGAGAATGGTTTAAAGGCATCTCTCATTAAGACACTGCAGGCTCGGAGACTACATCACAATTCATATGACACTTTCTACACCAGTCATAGAGCCTACATAATGCGACACAGAGGCAGTTATATCCATTCATAACGATAACAATGCATGACAGAAAACAACGATGCACACAAACACCCCTCCAGGTCATAACGCATCTCAGGCATTCATTATAAAGTAACGCACACGGCTATGAATGGCTATAACAGCCTTATGGAGGCTGTATGAGTGAGCGAACTGGAAGGCTGTTTAAAAAAAAAAAACTGAATAGAGAGGGCAGCGAGAGAGCAAATGAAAGGACAAGAGACGTAAACCATTTACTAAGACCAAGAGCCTTGCAGGGATAAAGGGAAGGTACTTTCTGTGTGTGTTGCCCCATCTCTCATTAAGACACTGCAGGCTCGGAGACTACATCACAATTCATATGACACTTTCTACACCAGTCATAGAGCCTACATAATGCGACACAGAGGCAGTTATATCCATTCATAACGATAACAATGCATGACAGAAAACAACGATGCACACAAACACCCCTCCAGGTCATAACGCATCTCAGGCATTCATTATAAAGTAACGCACACGGCTATGAATGGCTATAACAGCCTTATGGAGGCTGTATGAGTGAGCGAACTGGAAGGCTGTAAAAAAAAAAAAAACTGAATAGAGAGGGCAGCGAGAGAGCAAATGAAAGGACAAGAGACGTAAACCATTTACTAAGACCAAGAGCCTTGCAGGGATAAAGGGAAGGTACTTTCTGTGTGTGTTGCCCTTCATTTTGTCCTGCAGAATCTGTGCGTTTCCCTTCTTAAAGAAACAGAAATGCTACGATATAATCGGTTCTCTTTGAACAGGAATTGTACATACACATATCCATGAGTGAGTCCTTGATTACTAAAGTTTAAGGCATATGAAATCAAATAATGACCTAAATTAAAAGTGACCGCTAATTTTGGGTTTCAGGGGTATTGTGGGTAACACTGATACAAGGTTAACTGACATATGACTAATTTGCAAAAATTTAACTTTAGCTTGGGTTTAAAAAGATGAAGAATCACTATTTTAAGAAATGCAAGTCTTAAAGGGATAGTTCACAAAAAAAAAAGAAAATTCCATTATTTTTAGAATTAGAATTACCCTCTAGAATTTAGTTTAGAATTACCCTCAAGTTGTTGCAAGCCCGTCAAGAGTTTCTTTCTTCTGTTGAGAACAATAGAAAATATTTTGAAGAATGTTGGTAACATAACAGTTGTTGGTAGCCACTGACTTCCATAGTTTGGGGGGAAAATACCATGGAAGTAAACTGCTGAGTTACCAACATTCTTCAAAATATGTTGTGTTCAACAGAAGAAGAAAATTCATAAGAGTGAGTAAAGTTTCCACAAATGTTCATTTTTGGGTAAACTATGACACCAAGTGCTAAATGAGAAAAGTGGTGCTTTGATTACATAATCAATCTGCAGGACTGGCTATGGATTAGAAATACATATTTTAAATGTTTTTTTAAAAGGTTATTTGTGTTTTGTAGATGGCAAACGTGACAGGCGGCAAAGAAAACCGAAGAAAAAATGTTTGCAGCAGGATACATCTAATAGGAACTTGGAGAATATTCCACTGCCCCTCCAAACCAATCACATGTCATGTCAGTGCGCATCCTCAGCCAATCCCAGACAAGAATAAAAGTGAGAGCGACAAGCCAGTGTTCTGTACCATACATATGGGATAAATAACAAACAACTGATTCTCTAATACACACTCTCTTTCACACAAAAGCACACACACATCTCACAGTTTTCCAATTCTATAAAGACTGCTAAATCATAATTGAGCAAGACCAACCCAAAAGCCCCGGTTTATGTATAGATATAATTTGAATCTTTTGTTCCATTTTTGGAAAAAGATAGTTCCATAATTCTTTTTCTGGGGGGAAAAAAAAAAAAAAAGTATGAATTTTGTAATTTGTCCCTCTATATTGATACATACATACATATTTATATATAGCTATATTTGTTGGTAAAATATAAAAGCCCATGCTCACAACATTAACCTTCGTAAAGACCACCACACCACAGTGTGCTCACATAGCCGGGAATGTTAGTGCACATACACACTCACTCACTCACTCACTCACACACACACACAAGACTGCAACATACAACACCCGCTCCCAAAGGGGAGAACTAAACTATATATATATTCATATTTTTAAAAAAAACAATATCAGAACCAGAACATAACCAGAATGATAATATAAACCATAATCTTTGGACTTCCACTCAAAGAATTAGTGATCAAACAACCAAAGGGATGTGTTTGTGTGTGAGTCTCAGTTGGATATTCATAGATGAATAGCAAACGATGATTTTGATGCATAAAGTTTTTATGAATCTTTTGCAGCAGTCATCTGTGTGCGAGGAGTAATTATGCATGTGGGAGTTAATTGAATGTAACAGGGTAGGAGAATGACTGAAGTGTTTGGTGTGTGCGCGTGTGTGTGTGTATATGTGTGTTCGGTGAGCAGCGTCACTCGGAATCCCGCTGGACTTCAGAGGCATCTGCTCGGCAAATAGGACAGGTTCTGTTAGCCTAGAAGACAGAGGAGGATAGATTGTCAAATAGGTCTAAGAAATATATGGCTACAACTTAAGACAGTGGTTCTCAACCTCCAAGGGGGCTTTAAGATTAGTGTTTAAAATTTTAAGTGACGTGACATGTGGCCAAGTATGGTAACCCATACTCAGAATTAGTGCTCTGCATTTACCCATCACACACCGTGAACACACACCCGGAGCAGTGGGCAGCCATTTTTGCTGCGGCGCCCGGGGAGCAGTTGGGGGAACAATCCCTGCCGGTACGAGACTCGAACCCGCAACCTTTGGGTTATGAGTCCGACTCTCTAACCGTTAGGCCACGACTTCCCCAATTAATACATTAAACTAAATCTAACTCCTATCTATCTATCTATCTATCTATTAAATTCTTGAAATACATGCATTGTGGTAAAACACATCTGAGAAATGTGGCCTATATCGGAGAGGCTGTGAATATTGTGTTAAAAAGGGGGACCTTTGAGTTAAAAGGTTGAGAACTACTGAAAATTCTTCACATAATTTATCAAAGGTATAATAACAAAAATACTATTACTACTACCACTATTATTATGAATTATTAAAATACATTAAATTAATACATTTGCAAGATTGCTTACCTTGAGCCATTTGTCGACACACTTGGCATGGAATTCATGATTACAGGGCAGTACTCTCAACAGCTGACGGGACTCAAAATCACACATGCACACCACACACCTACAGGGAAAGAGGGGGAAAATATTACTATAATACTTTTTTCAACATCAAGAGTTTGTTAATTTATTAAAAAGAAAAAAAGCCTAAACAGACATTTTTCCTTCGAATTTCCTTAAAGCAATAGTTCATCCAAAATTGAAGATTCTGTCATCATTTACTCACCCTCATGTCGTTCCAAACCTGTACGAGTTTCTTCCTTGTGTTGCACACAAAAGATGATATTTTGAAGACCCAAACAGTTGTTGGTCCCCATTGACTTCGATAGAAGGGAAAGAAATACTATGGAACTCAATGGGGACCATCAACTGTTTGATTACCAGCATTCTTCAAAATATCTAATGTTTGACATAAGAAACTCATACAGGTTTGGAACAACATGAGGGAGCGTAAATGACCATTTTTATTTTTGGGTGAACTACCCCTTTAAGAGTACAAATATTCATGTATATATGTAGTAGGGTTGGGCGATGTCGAATTATTTGAATTATTTTTTTTATTGTAAATTTCAATACATTTATTATCCAACACCCACGATCCGACCCGCATGTTCTTTGTTTTACCAATAACCAAACCCATAAATAAAGTTAACACAAAATACCACCCGTCAATCACTTTTTCCACTGGACTCCCGTCATCATCTCACAACTGAACTTCGCAAAACAAATATGGACCAACCAACCATATATTGCCAAAAGTACAAAGTACAAGCGTGATAGTGAAAGATGGAAGCAGTGTACATTCACATTTAGCAGACGCTTTTATCCAAAGCGACTTACAATTGGGGAATACATCAAACGATTCATCTTAAAGAGGCAAATAGACACAGGAAGTGCTCGTCATACCAAATTTCAAGCATTGTTCAAATAAGTACAAGCTATAAGTGTTCTGATGCTGTAACTCGCTACCTAGCAAAAAAATGATTTCTTTTAATACAGTAGAGAAGAGCGCATTTAAAGCCATGCTGCAAACATTTGACAAGCAGTATGAGCGGCCAGGTCGGAAATTCTTCTCGAAGAACGCAGTCCCAAAGTTGTACAACGACATCAGAACAAATATTTCAGCAGTGCTGGATGATATGGAATATTTGGCCCTGACAACTGACATGTGGTCCAGCTGCAACATGATGCCTTACATGTCAGTGACCGCATATTATGTCAGCAAAGAGTGGACACTAGAATCGAAATGCCTACAAACAAGCTTCATGCCAGAAAGCCATACAGCCGACAACCTATAATAGGCATTGCGGGAGAGTATACACGAATGGAAGACAGAAGAAAAAAAATTTCTCCTGCATAACTACTGATAATGGGGCCAATATTGTTGCCGCCATCAGATAATTAAAATGGCCTTGGTTAAGTTGTTTTGGTCACAATCTGAACATTGCAATAAACAACTCACTTAAGCAGCAGCAGGCCAGCGGGCTTTCAGGGTTTGCTGGGCAGTCAACACTGTTTTTTCCCACATCTGATGGAGGAGACGTGAGCTGAGCAAAGCACAAGAGGAGCTGAAACTCCCTCAGCACTCCTTGATCACGGTAAATTTCAAAAGTGTGGGCCGATACCTATTATCTAATTGCAGTAATTTAAAAAGTGTTCCTACACGTAAAACCATAAATATGTATATACAGCAATGCAAGCGTGCGATCAGACGCACAGACAAACATAAATGACTTGCACAATCCATGTATCATTCGTTCAATTATTTTTTAATTAAGAATCCACAATCGGAAAAAAAAGAAAAACAACTTTTCATAATTTCTTTACAAAACCAAAACCTAACGGCCCAACATCGTGATGTTTGTCAGCCATCGGCGTCGTCTATCGGCCCAACCCTAATATGTAGTCTCTTGATTATTAGTTCAATAATAATTTGTTTGTTTTTAAGTTTGTACTCACAAAGTCTGCTCTGACTGATGGTTGCTGGGGTTGAATCTGTAGGAAGGCAGCTGTTCGATATCGGCTTTTGTCAAACCTCTAGGCTTCGCTTCTCCAAGACGCTCAGCAAGGTTTAACAGAGCCTAATCAAACACAAAACCACATGTAAAACAGAATACCAAAACAAAAGTATACCTGAAAAGTATAAGTGATATGTCTTTGATAGAAATATTTATAAGTCTCTCACCTCATAATTCTCAACCTCTCCATCATCTACATCCAGCTCCAAGCTAATGGTGGGACCCACTGCTGTTGGCTGGACTGGAAGAACAGATCTGGCCCACCAAGTAGAAACAGTGACATTATTATTCTACAGCTCGTTGGCTCTCCAACACAACACTCTGGTGTATGTTTGCATGTGTAACTCACAGGAAGTAGGGCAGCAGACTTGGGTGGTAAGGAGGTGGAGGTACAGCCTGCTGAGAGCGGTAACGTCTGCCTGTGATTCGCCGAGGCAAGAAGTGTGGATACGGCTGGAGAGAACACACAGGAAAAACACATAAAACCTTCATCAGCTTGTTTAGATCGCAGCGAGCAGAGGTGATGAAGCATGAAGATCACTCACCACTCCAAAGAGCTCCTGGGGCAGGGGTTCATGGGAGAGGAACTGCAGTTGGGTGGAAGGGGGCAGAGGACTAGGATGCCCCGAATGAGGGTAGTTAAACCCTCCACCTACCGACAGGTGTTCCCCCAACAACTCAACCTCATTCTCTATCCTCTGCAGCGGCTAGTCAAAAAAGACAAATATGCATATTTAATGCTAATACTTTAAATTCTAAAATATTTTTTAGTCTAGCGTAGCAGAACTATAGTAAAAACATGAATGCAAGTATTAATATAAATATTAACACGTATTATAAAATATTTGTGCATTGTAAATATTCTAATATATTAATATATTACTTTAAATATTTCATATATACACAATAAACACACATATACCCAAAAAAGTTTGGATTTAGTAAGATTTTCATTAAAAAAATTAGAAATTTTACTCCGCAAGGATGCATTGACTTGATCAAAAAATAAAGACATTTAAAATGCTACAAAAATAATTTTCTTTTAAACTATCTATCCAAAAAAGAAATAAATCCGTTTCCACAAAAATATTAAGCAGAACAATGCTTTCAACATTAATAATAATAACAATTTAATAATAAAAAAAAATTTACATTTTAAATAGAAGTAAGTTTCAGTTGTAATAATATCTCCCAATATTACGGTTTTACTATATTTCTGATTAACTAAATGCAGCCTTGAGTATAAGAGACTCCTATAATAAACATATAGTTATATGTTAATGGAATAACTAGTAAAATAAGTGTGGGCATATTATTGTATACTCACAGATCGAGACTGTTGCGTCTGGAAAGGTAAGAACTGTCCAGGCGTGGGGAGGTGGGGCGGATGATGTGATAGATGCGGCGGATGAAGCAGGAAGGGTGGATCACTGGAGAGAAGAGAAGGAAATGCGGCGTACGGCACTGGCAAATGCTGCACTGAACATGCCGGCAACATCTGCAGGTCAAACAAACAAATAGACATTAGACTATCAGTTTCAAGCCACTACAAAACACTTCAAAGGTCAAAACAGGAAGGTAACAACTTGCCACCACTGGGGGGCAGCAGATACAACCAAATCAAATGAGCTCACCAAAATCAATTGATGCTATCTAGGCCTATTCACACCCTGATTTACTTACAGGAGGCGGTATGCTACAGATTGGATAGTGTTGCTGTCCGCTGAAGACCACAGAACAGGCGGGCACCTGCTGTTGAGAAGAGCATGCTGGGAGATGCTGTCCCGTACAGAGGGGGGCAGGTAGACCATGGGGCGGCATTGGAGAAAGTGTATACGACACCGGCACAGTACCCTGAGGGAGCTAAAATGCACACACACAGAAACAAAATTAAATGAATAAAGAGTCTGTTTGATTTATTAATGATCCATCCAAAAAAAAGGACCACTTTAATTATGATAATGGAATCTTATTTTTTTCCTTTTTTTTTCTTCCCAAAATCAATTTTTTTAATACTCTGAAACAAATAAAAGAAAAATAACTTAAATCTCACAATTCTGACCAAAAAAAAAAAAAAGTCAGAATCGTGAGATATAAACTAGCAATTACAACAACAAAAAACAATTGTGAGGGAGGGGGAAAAAAAATGCAATAACCTTTCTTCCATGGTGGAAATAAGCATCCGTAAATGCTACATAATATCCAGTATAATAAGATTTAAAATAAAGACATTTCTGCTTTGGTTGATGGAGGGGTACTTGAGCCCTGTTAATGGGGCTGTGGGGGTACATGCCACACAAAAAAGTTATGATACAAGACATTTTAAGAGACTGCTTAACCTTCTTGGATGGAAACCTCATTAGGGTACCTTCGGCCCCAGTTATCATCCCACAGAGACCCTGCCCCAACCCTCTAACCTGCTCATGAAGATCCATCACCATGGCTCCCTGCTGCGGAGGGTGCAATAACCGAGGCGAGAGCGTGGGGGGGTGAAAGGCCCGGGGCTCATCAAGGCCGGGTGGAGGGTGGGATGGTGGCTGGCCATAGGGATGAAGCGAATGTGGGTGAGGAGGGTGGCGATAGTTTTCATCCTGTCCCCCACCCGGGGACCCATGAGGGGGATGGTGCCGTGACAGACGCTCTCGCCAGCCTCGCTGACGCCGCACTGGAGGACTGCACAGGCAAAGTCACATTCATTTAACACAGTAATAATCAGATGTGACCCTGGACCACAAAACCAGTCTTAAGTCACACAGTTATATTTGTAGCAATAGCCAAAAATGCATTGTATGGGTCAAAATTACAGCTTTTTCTTTTATGCCCAAAATCATTGTTCATGTTCCATGAAGATATCTGTAAATTTCCTACTGTAAATATATCAAAACTTAATTTTTGATTAGTACTATGCACTGCTAAGAACTTTAAAGGCTTCAAAAAACTTTTAATTTTTTTTTGCACCCTCAGATTCCAGATATTCAAATAGTTGTATCTCGGCCAAATATCGTCCTATCATAACAAACCATACAACAATGGAAAGCTTATTACAAATAAGCTTATTTATTACACTTTCAGATGATATATAAACCTCAATCTCAAAAAATTTACCCTTATGACTGATTTTGTGGTCCAGGGTCACATATAAGTTTATACTATACATATACAAAATTAAGGAATAATTAAACATTTTTAAAAATGTTTTTGAAAGAAGACTTATGCTTACCAATTTATTTGATATAAAAAATTAAAACAACAGTAACGTTGTGAAATTATTACAATTTAAAAACTATTTTTCTATGTGCTATCACGGAAATAAGTTACCTTTTAAAATACATTCAAAGCTGAACATACAGTATTGTATATCAAACTGGATTTTCAGCAGCCAGTTGCTCACTGGGGGACTAACGAACTAAAATAAGAGACTAGAATTATGAATTTATACCACAAAATGAGTCATTTTCTAAAATAGTCATTCACAATACAATAATCCAATCTGTTAAACTGCTTTAAAATGCTCTTTAAAAGCGATATAGAAACACACCTGACAAAAGTCACTGCCTTCATTGAATAGCTGTCAGCTCATTCAGTGCACATCAGCACTAACAGTCAAAACTAACAACAGCATACCTGCGTCTGTGCCGTACAGGTGTGTGGCAGCGTTCAGGGTGGTAGTGTGGGTGGGGATAGGGGTGTGGCCTGCGACTTGGCGGAAGCTCCCATGGTCTGATTGGTGGTGAGGGTGTGGAAGGAGGGGCAGAAGTAAACTCCAGTACAGACTGCTGAGAAAGACGCGGTCTCTTTGGACTAGGAGAATCCTCCGTCTGAGGGACAAAACACAGTAAATCACTCAATTACTCATCTGCAATTAAAAACCACATATATTCAAACTGAATCACTGCTTAAACATCTTGATACTACAGCCATTTGGCGCACTTACAGAAATAGTTTACACAAAAATGTTAAAATATGCCATGCTAAGTTTGAATATATGGAATATATGGTGGATTTTAAAACTGTTCTTCACACAAAGCTATTATTTGACTTCAGAAGACTTGGAACATGAGATGTGGACTACTTTTATAGTGCTTTTTGAAGCTTGACAGCCTTCATTGGACAGAAAGCAGCTTAAACATTATGCTAAATATTTTCTTTTGTGTTTCACAGATGAAAGTCAGGTCAATTAAAGGCATAGTTCACCCAAAATGAAAATTCTGTCGTTATTTTCTCACCCTCATGTCGTTCCAAACACGCAAGACCTCTGTTCATCTTCGGAACACACATCAAGATATTTTTGAAGGAATCTGAGAGCTCTCTAACCCTCCCATAGACAGCAAGGGTCCTTACACGATCAAGGTCCAGAAACATAGCAAGGACATCGGTAATATAATCCATGTGACACCAGGGGTTCAACCATAATTTTACGAAGCTACAAGAATACTTTTTGAGCGTGAAAGAAAAAAAAAAAAAGAAAAAAAAACACTATTCAACAATTCGTCTCCTCCGCGTCACCCTAGCACCATTTTGGAGAGTATCCACTGAACGTAAATTGCGTATGCTGTTTTGTGTCAGCTGTGCTACGCGGATACGCTGTTTATGTCGTTTACGCTTTGATTTGAACAAAAACAACGTATCCGCGTGGCACAGCATACGCAATTTACGTTCAGTGGATACTCTCATAGTGTTGCTGTTAGTGCACTGAATATATATATTTTTTTTTCTTTCACGCTCAAAGTATTCTTGTAGCTTCGTAAAATTATGGTTGAACCCCTGATGTCACATGGATTATATTACCGATGTCCTTGCTACGTTTCTGGACCTTGATCGTGTAAGGACCCTTGCTGTCTATGGGAGGGTCAGAGAGCTCTCAGATTCCTTCAAAAATATCTTAATGTGTGTTCCGAAGATGAACAGAGGTCTTACGGATTTGGAACGACATGAGGGCGAGTAATTAATGACAACATTTTCATTTTTGGGTGAACTTTCCCTTTAAAATGTATTCCTTTATAAAATCCTCTTGTTTGTGAATATTAACAACAACAACAACATCATTCAATTTCCAATATTTAGGTTGACTAACCAAATATTGCTCAATGCTGCACTCATTAACCACAAAATGAGTTATTTTCAACTCCAGAAATTTCTCACTATTTTATACGTCATGTTAATTAATATTTAGCTCAAGAAGAAAAAAAAGTGTTTTGTACATGTGCTAGTTCCTTTTGCCCACTGAAAGCACAAGCAGCTATTGTGCCTGCCGGCATTAGTGGCATTTCCTGTCAATGATATCACTGCCTCTGTTGCCTAAGGCGGTGTGAGGTCACTTCCCGAAAGTTTGAGGAAACCCATGGCTTGTTGCTCAACACACACACACACACACACACACACTTGCTCAGCCGGTGTTACTCAAACACATTCAACTCCAAGTCAGCAGTCTCCTCCAAGACATGGAGAAACATGCAGCGACACATGAGTCAGTATGTGTAACCAAAGCTTGAACATGCAGGAATATCTGAAGACATCATATCAGCTTCATCACCTTTTACTGGAAGTCAGATGACACACACACACACACACACACGCTTACTCATGACTGAACACACACTTTATAGCATGAGTTCTAGGTCTACTCAGTTTGGAAGAGTCATAGTTTACGTGGGGTGGCATCAGAAAAGGGACGACTGACTTTCTAAAACATTTTTGGGTGACTAACAAGTTACTCAGACAAACTTTCAAACAAAACCCACACACACATCACTGTAAGGCTTTCAAGATGCAAACTAGAGGCGTATCTTAAAAGAACACACGTGCGAGTTTGGCGAGACCCACAAGGAAGACGAAAACAAGCAGATAGCACACACACATTGACTCGTTGTGGGTGGTAAAGTGAGCTCACACAAAACAAGGTTAAGCCAAGTGTGGAGATACAGAGAGCAGCCGCTGACACCGAGCAAGGCTTGAGTGTGTGTGAGAAATCAGTAACAGGAAACAGCTGGGGAGCAGGCTAGACTTATCTGCATATGGATTTGAGTCAGGTTTATTTAAATGTCTCTTGAAACAGATACACCATATATTTCCCCTCATCTCCTTTACATCTTTCCGTGTGAGAGGTGAGACCTTGCAAAGTAACGTCTGAGTCAGCTGCCTGATCCCATTCAAAACAATGACATCAATTGTTTTGTATGCAGTCTACACACTTTCTCTCACACACACAAAACGTGATTATATACACATGTTTGAAAATCATTTTTTGGCCTTTTGCAACTTCATTTCCTGTCTCATCTATCACTGTCCCAATTAATAGAGAGAACCGGATCGGGAAAGGACACAATAGATCAGAGAGGTTTAAGGATAGAAAATACATTTCAGGAACGTTCTGTTTTTCTTTTTAAAGAAATTAATACTTGTATTTAGCAAGAATGTATTAAATTGACTTAGAGTGATATTAAAAAGACATTTATAATGTTACAAAAGATTTCCATGTAAAATATATGCTGTTCTTCTGAACTACCTTTTTTAAGAATCCTGACAAAAAAAACTTTCAGTTTCATGTATCATTGATAAGCATTTTGAACACAAATTTGCATATTAGATTGATTTCTGAAGGATCATGTGACACTGAAGATTAGAGCAATTGCTGCGGAAAATTCAGCTTTTCAACACAGGGAGAAATTACATTTTAAAACATTACAACATAAAATATTAATTTTTTTTTAACAATCTCACATTGTTTTTACTGTAATTTTAATAAAATAAATGCAGCCTTGGTGAGCATAAGAGACTTTTGGACTTTTTTTAAAAATCCTACCGACCCCAAACTTTTGAATAGTAGTGTATATTTCCTCTTACAAAACGGGATTTAATTAGAGTTTAATTTATAATTAAATTCAGTGTCAAATGGGACTTTCTTCATCATTTACTGATTAACAAGAGTCTTGGTGTCTTAAGGGGTGTTTATGATATTTAACCTCGAAAGCTTTGCTTTGTTTGACCTAATCATTTTAAATTATGAACTAAAACATACATTAAAAAATATAACTATTATATAGTGAATAAACAAAATGTACATATTCATAACACATTCATGCTACAAAATAAAATACTCAAAAATGCCTTCCAAAATCTTAACTAGATTCTAGCGTTACTACACTAAGGAAAGTGAAATAACAAGAGAACTCTCACTGTTCTGAATTCTTCATGGGAAATTCATTTTATGTACAGATACAGTGTTTTACTAGAGCAGAGCCTTGGAAAGTTGAAGATGTCATTTTCAGCACAGCTATGGAAGTTTTAACAGCCTTGTTCTAAAATTGGATATTAAAACTAGAAGCGTGTTGAAATGCCTCTCCTGTTCTGATGGCCATATGGTCACACTGTCAGCCTGTATGACAACTTTATAGCGAACATTCTGGTTATTTCCACTGTGGGCTGACTACACTTGAAAAGACTCCATAAGAAACAGTTGCAACACAATTACACAGCTGGCCTTTGCTTTTATGAAAGTGTGATCCTTGGAGTTGGTGATTTTTTGACATGTAAAATGGTTCTTCGGTCCAAAAACAAAAAGAAAGAATGGTACCATGTTATGCACATAAATGTATATATATTAACTGTATATGTACTGTGTTGCATTGTTAACATACACTATGTTCAACCATTTGAGTTCAGACAAAGAAAAGAAACCAGAGAGTGACCTTGGACTAGTCTTCCCTCAGTCCTTCGGTTTCTTCAGAGCCATTAGAGGAGAGCAGGGGAGAGGAAGGTGAAGGGAAAGGATGAGAAACTGGGGCTGAAGGGGGAGTGGATGGATGGATGGGAGGCAGAGATGGGGGGAGGACAGAAGTGATGCCCCAGGGGGTGGCAGGGTGGGGCTCAGAGGGGGAAAGTGCAGAATTGAAAATGATGAACTATGAACAGTGCCTAGAACACAGCCTCAGGACATTTATACACCGCCATCCAAACCCAGCAACCGTACGCACACACACACGGACAGACAGTATACCAAAACTATTTTAAACCATTCATATAAATGTTACTGTTATTATAATACGAAGACCAGAGAACACTCATACATATATACATTTTACTTTGCTGCGTTATTGAGACATCTACAGTTGTACCATTTTATTATAATTATTATTATATTATTAGTACTATAACTTATTTTATTAATATCATTAATAATATATTTTAATATCATGCTCATCCAGAACACTGCTGCCAGGATTCTGACTAGAACCAGAAAATCTGAGCATATCACACCAGTCCTCAAGTCCTTACAATGGCTTCCAGTTATATTTAGGATTGATTTTTAAGTACTTTTACTCGTTTTTAAATCACTCCATGGCCTAGGACCTAAATACATTGCAGATATGCTCACTGAATATAAACCTAACAGACCACTCAGATCATTAGGTTCACACAAAACAAGGGGAGTCCGCTTTTAGCTATTTTGCCGCCCGCAGTTGGAATCAGCTTCCAGAAGAGATCAGATGTGCTAAAACATTAGTCACATTTAAATCTAGACTCAAAACTCATCTGTTTAGCTGTGCATTTATTGAATGTGCATGTCCAAAATGACTGCACTGTATTTTATGTAGAAACATTTATTTTTAACGGTTTTAAATTCATTTTAAATACATTTTTTAATTCCTTGTTTTATTGTTGTGATTATTTTTTATGATTATTTTATTTCCTTTTATGTAAAGCACTTTGAATTACCATTGTGTATGAAATGTGCTATATAAATAAACTTGCCTTGCCTTACATAACATTATTATTATTATTTCTACTAAATATAATTAGCTGACTACAATCCAGTGTTAGTATTGTGATACTATTATAGTTTTTATTTTGATAGATTTTCTATTTTATTATAGTTTTATTTTGAATACGTTTTATTTTCACATTGTTTAGTTTTTTTTTGT